AATGCGGTCTACCAAACATCCAAGAATTTGCATGGCGGATGCAAGCCAGGTGCCGAGCAACTAAACACGCCCTATATGAACAATGTTTGATATTTGCAAGTTGCGTGAAAATGACACTTACTTCGGCAAGATTTGAGCCTTTTGAGACGTAGAATTAAGGCCAAGGATGAACGGTGTTTAGAAGAATGGTTAATCACCCATCTGTGATGTTGGTGTGAAGTAGTAGTCGTGGTTATCTCCACCATTTCAGCCACGATAACTTCCATTAGCAAACATGGTAAATCATTGACCCGTTGGTTTTTTGTCAGAAATTGACACGTTTGCTAACGAAAGTTGACATCCTCACAAGAACATAATTCACCATAAGAACGTCTGATTTGTCATGGTTAAAAATCTTACGTCAGTTAGTACTTTTGTTTCGTAGAAAAAGACCAAGAGCGAGCCAAAACGTACAAGTCGGCGCGGCCGGTAAGCGCGGCGCTGTCGTGTCAACCCATCCGAGCTCCGTCCCACTTTACGAATTCAATTCAGTGAGACAACGACAGGCGCCGGGGAGGGAAGCGGACCTCCTCCGACCACACGACGCCACGAAGAAGAATCAAAAGGTGGCCGGCGCCGGTGCACCTCCCACCCCAGACCCGTTCCAACGTGCGCGGGCACGGCGGAGCGGCCGGGTCAGCGCTCCGGAGTGAATGCGGCCGCTGCCTGCTGCTCCCGGTGGACGGACACCCCGGCGCCCTTGACCGGTTCGGGCACGCGCGAGAATTTCCAACCCGGCTTCAAAGAACGGGACACGCACGCACACGAGAATTTTCACAGCCCAGCTGCACGCTCTCTAGCTGGCTATAAATACACGCACGCGCTACACTAGCTTAGCATCAAACCCAAGGAAAGAAAGACCATCTATCCACGTCCCCGGCCAGAGATTCAGACAAGTCTTCTGTGTGCTTGTGCTCCTTGGGATTCAGAGGAGATCCATCCAATTCCAAGGGCGCGTTCGTTTCTTCTTGGGAGGCCATGGAAGCTCGCCGCCGCCTCGACTTGTTCCTCGTCGTCGCCGTCCTCGTCGCGATCCTCGCCGCGAGCTTCGTGCGGTGCGCCGACGCCGCGAGGCCCGTGCCGCCGAGCCCGGCGACGGCGCTGGTGTCGTCGCTGATGGAGATGCTGCCCATGGGGCCGAGCAGGCGAGGCGCGGGGCACTGATCCATCGTTGGTTGCAACCATTAATCGGCGAGGAGTATATACATAGTTTAGATTTAGAAATCATTCCTTTTGGTTCTTGGTTAATTCTTTCTTTTCAAAATAAACCATTTCCATCTCTGCCTTGCGCCTCCAAGAGGTGTGTATACAAGTGTAATATATACGTACGTATGTACACAGAGAGTTCGATATGCAGACGAAATGATCTGAAACAACCAAACAGGATCCCCTTAACGCGCCGGTCTTGCGTCTTATAATTAAAATCCCATTTATGTTGCTGCCTTGTGCGTGTACGTGGATTAACGAGCTACTCGGCTCGTTAAGCTCTTGCTCATTAAGCTTTGGCTCGTTAAGATTAACAAGCAGAAAATCCTGCTCGGCTAATTCGTATGAAGCTCGCTAAACTCGCGAGCGTTTGTTAACAGATCCTGATGTGTTACGGATTATATGACAAGCGTGTAGATGTGGATTTTAAGAAGGAAGTGGTGACTATAAAAAGAAATGCACTTGTTTGTTGCCTTCTATCTAGATTAGATTGATAGATGGGCTGAGGTGCTAGGAAAATTTTGTCATGTAAGATAAAAGTATGTGTTGTGTTGTTACTAATGAGCTTAATGAGCTACTCGCGAAACTCGTTAGCTCGTTCGTTAAGCTCATAAGATTAACGAGCCAGAATCAATGATTGGCTGTGTTCACTAGAAGCGAGCCACGAGCTTAACGAACCGAACTATCGAGCACTCATTAAGCTCGCGAGCTACAAGCTTTTGATCCAGCCCTACGTGTATATACTACGCATGAAAGGAAAGTCAAAGCAGGCGTGCTGGATACATAGTTTTCCTTTCTTTTGACCCGAAACTGTGAGAATTTCCTCCCACGCCTTAATTTTTAGACATTTTAATGGAAGTTTGTAGCACAAGCAAAAGGAAAGAGTCTACGTCCTACTAGTGTACAACAGGGTAAATACAGCGTGCTGGATGTAGTTATCATGATGGTCCACGATGTGAGTTCCAAAGTCGCTTGCTTCATCCGTTCGTTCCAAACAATCAAAGAAGAAATATTTGTTTGGTAGGTTTGGACTTTTGGTGATGATTGAGTTACAAGAAAAAGCATCATGCCCAGCTATTACAAACTGGTAAGAGCATCTATAACCGGACTTTGCAAATTCGACCCTTTAAATGACCGTGGACGCGTCCATTGACACTGACCGGTCAAGCCTCAAATTTGTCTTCTCACAACTGAAGACCTCAATTATAATATCTTAAATTCATACAAACTCATGCAACTACGTCAATACATTACACACATCGTCCGGCTACTCCATCACTACTAACATGCCATTTGACTACCCAAATTTGGCATGTTTGACTCTGGTGGAGATCATCCACGGTTGCACTTGCCCTTCCTGGCGCCCTTGTCGTCCTTCTCGCAGAAGTGCCGATCAAAGACGCGGTAGGGATCGAGATGGATCTGCTCGTCATCGGAGCTGTCCTCCTTCGGTGGCAGTCCGGCCATGACACGGACCGCCGGATCTGCTCGTCGTCGGAGCTGTCCTCCTTCGGTGGTCGTCCGGCCATGACACGGACCGCCCGATTCTGCTCGAGTGCGAGGGCGCGCGTGTTCCTCTGCTATCATTTCTTCACAATGAGGGTGCGGATGGCTTCCTGCTTTGCAGCTGTCCGCGCCGCCGCATCAGCCGCCGCCGCGATACAGGCCTCACCGGCCTTTATCCTCTCCATCACACAATGGGCCGCCATTCTCGGTGGGACTCATAGTCTGCCCGCCCAGTGATGGGGAAAGGGAGATTTTCCGACTGCTAGGACCGCGATGATCCAGCCCCAGAGAACCCAAGCGCCCGTTGAGCTGACGCTATGGAGTCACGTCAGACAGATCCTTCCGTCGGTCGGGTGTTGTCCTCCCGGGAGCGGGGAGTGCAATGCGGACCGACATTGCCTCCTCCAACCCCCACGAGATGACACAAGAGACGCCCGGAATCGTCGGAGGTAAGCTTGGGTGGTGGAGGGAGTGGAGTGGAGTGTGAAGTGGCTAAGGTTTGGTCAGGCGAGCGGATGGGGACGAATATATGTGGGGTCGTTGTAGACCAGCACGGCCAGGCCGACATGGCGGGCGGGACCAGCCGCCCCATATCCGCCTCATATTTGTGCTGGATATGAGGGGTGCCGGTCAGCACGGGCGTTTAAGGCCCGTTTAAGGCATCCATCTGGGTTGAAATTTCGTGACCAATTAGTAACCAGGTGGCCGCCCGGATCTTAGAGGCGGGTTTGAAACGCCCGGTTGTACATGCTCTAACACAAAGCAAGAAATAGGCCCTAGTTCATATGGTGAAGTGCCAATCATGGTCAACACCAACCAATTCCAACGAGGGTGCGCTAGAAAGTAGAGGCAACACAAGATGCATGTCAAGATTAGATTTGAAAAATATCGTAGAGATTGGGGTGTGTGTGTCAACAACATCAACTATCATCATCACCAAATTGTAAGTTACGACCTTGACTTTGACAATTAAACGCTCTGAATGGTCCAAAGCAGAACAAGACCCTACTTGAAGTTGCGTGGTGGATCACTATCTTATAAAAGTTGGGAAAGTCTTAGGATTATTATAGGAAAAATGAATTAATAGTAAGAGGGAAAATGTAACACCCCATTTTTGGGGTAAATGATTTTGGCTTTTAAAAATAATACATGTGGTGCTTTATAATTTTAGGGGGCTTTTAGAACTTTCTCAAAATTTCCCTCTTACCTTGGATCTTTTTGGAGATGAAGTACCTACCCATATATTACCTGATGTTACCATGCATATTCCTTTGCTAACCCTTGGCCACAATTAAAAATAGCCATATAGCCATTAATTTTATTAATAGAATTAAACACTAATCATCATGGTTGATTAATGAAAAAGTTCCTTTCCCGCAAAAAAAAAACTAATTCTCCCTGCT